GGGTGTAGTAAATCAAGATTCTTGTAAAAATGCACAATAACTTCATTATTGCGTTATTTAAATGAAAAAAGTTATAGTGGTTAGAAATTCCAAATAAACCTTTTAAGCTATTGAATTTGTTTGAAACTTATATTGTTCCATCTTCCCTCAAGATAAATCATGCATTAATAAATGTCTGAGGTCTTTAGTGTATATTTTCTATCGTCTTTGCTATATCATCGAGATACAATCTATAAAATGACCTGTTTTATATATCAATACAAAAATCTATGGAGATTTTTCTACAAAACAATATTTTTTCTCATATTCGTTACTGTAAATGTTGAAAAAACATTTTTAAGTTTAAAATAAATGCAAAATGTTAATTATTTTAATAAGAAAATTAATTTTTTTTTTCTAACCAACAACTGTTTTGAATGAAATATTTAAAAAAAAATCAAATTCATTCATTGATGAAGTAGTTTAAAAATAAATAGCTTCCAAATAAAATTACGAAAAATATTACTGTTTAGATACAACTAAAACTAAAAGGAATTTGTAACACTGTAATCAATGCAAGGTCAAAGGAACCAAAGTTTAAGAAAGCATCTTTTCTGTTGCTAAAATTGAAAAGAAATTCATATATGCGCCAAAATTCATCCCATAATTTTGAATTTATCAAACATTTTCCGGGGATGGGCCTACTAAGACCCCCCCCCCCCAACACCAATTTCGTTCGGTGCCCTCGGTCTCTTCCTTTAGTTTAATATACGTAGGTGAACTATAGGCCCTATATTTGTCCAGTGGGCGAAACTAAGTCAAAATTCATCCCATAATTTTGAATTTATCAAACATTTTCCGGGGAAGGGCCTACTAAGACCCCCCCCCCCCCAACACCAATTTCGTTCGGTGCCCTCGGTCTCTTCCTTTAGTTTAATATACGTAGGTGAACTATAGGCCCTATATTTGTCCAGTGGGCGAAACTAAGCTTGGACGAAACTAAGCTGGGGCTCAAAGCTAGGAAAATTAGTTTTCCATAGTTTTCCATAGTTCACCATAATTTTCACCCTAAAATAAAGACTAAAAATGTATACATTTATTTTCTTCCCAAATATTTTAGAATATACAAACAGGCTCCCCAGCGGTAAAAATTGAAATAAACATCCTTTAAGTCAATATTATATTTTTTTAAGCAGGGTTGTAAGATATGGCTGATATTTTTGCGATTGAGAAATCAATTCAATAATTTACTTAAATTGTTATGTTTTAATAAAAAAAAATTCTCTGAATAAATTTGTTCTCTTAATAAGATTGTGTAACCATAACAAAAAAATGATTTGATGTACAATGTAATTAAATCATATTTTAATATTTTTTGCATCAAATAAAAATCTTATCTTATATATTATTATTTTATTGCTGTAAAGGAAATGATTGGAAATGTTTCACCTTGACCTAGTTTAATGAACTCCTTCAATGACAAATGGAATTTCAAAAATTTTGTCAAATCTAAACCAAACTCACGGTGTTCTATTAAAAAAAAATATAGAAGGAATGAATAGATTTAAATAAAATCATGCTATGAAATATTTTATAATGATGGTGCCTTTTACAAAAAAAAAATATATCATTATGGCGCTTTAGGACACATAACAATAAGTACACAACAATACAATTAAGTTTTTTTGTAACTTTAAACGATTGGAATGAACTGAGATCGTTTTAGGCGTATCAGTTCTTTACTTTCTGACACTTGCAATCAAATCACAGTCGAGTGCTACCTCCTTCTATTCTTTTTTGGTACCTCGAGTTCTGGCAACAGTGGTGGTGGCGGAGATTTCTTTACCATGACATATCTGAAAAAAGAATATGCGGATAGTTATTAAGTTATCCTTAGTAAAATTAATGTACCCAAAACATCAAACTCAGCTGAAATGTGTCAAAATATATTGTATTTACACTTCAAGTTCATAACATACGAAAAACATGGAATCATCTATTTGATAAATGCATGCGAGTCAAACGGCGGAAAGAAACAGGTGATCATTATTTTTAAGTAGTTTTATACAGCCCGGTACCCAGGCCCGGGGCTAGGGTCACTGCACTTCACATAAAAATTCGCAATTACAGAAAATTATACATTTAAAAGCAACAATTGGTTAAAGCTTGACCTCACCTACCCAAGTACTATACACGCCTGTCTAGCCATGTACAGCAACCAGCAGCATCGAGCGTTGTTTATAGTTGGAAAAGGGGGGGGGGGGGGGAGAATGAGTCACTATAGTACAGTTGGAAGGGATGGGGCTTGGGGGGCGGGTTTGAAGGCTTTGATGGTCTTTATATTGGGGATGTGTAATGGGAGAGAATGCCATTATTTTGGTGCAGAGAAAGAGAAAGATCGTTCACCATATGTTTTATTACGGTTTGCTTGGAACTGAAAGAATAAGCGTGTCTGTGGAGGAACGGAGCTTTCAAAGGGGTGAATAGACAGTAAAAAGTTTAGTAAGATGGGAAGTGCAGGAACCAGATAAAAAGTTGGGACAGAGAACAGACAACTTGTTATCAATGCCTGCCCTTATAGGAGGCAATGAAGTGAGTGAAGTAGTAGAGTAACGTGATCACGTTTCTTTGACTTTATAACTAACCTAGCATTAGGTAAATAAATTAAAAGTAATTTTGAAAATAATTATATTGCCATATTAATACAAAAAATATACATTATTGTTTTTGAAAATGTATTTGTGGCCATTTCTATTGGACATTATACACATCTACACAAAATCATACATACTCTTGGAAGATGTTACATTTTTTATGTTCTCTTTTTTTATACTTTATATGAAACTATCTTTTGTTCGTGTTTCACCAAGTGTTAGTAACATCTTCTGACAGCTAATTTCCCAAATTCCCGTCAACTTATCAAGCTGAAATCTGTCACATACAGTGCCATCTTAAGGCATGGGCATAGTGGGCACTTGCCCAGGGCCCCGCGCTTCTAGGGGGCCCCTTGCTTCTAGGAGACTCACTCTTAAAAAGGCTTCATGTTGCAAATATTGTTAATGAATATTGAGAAGTTTAGGCAATTAAATTTGATTTAAAAATCAGTGGACAGCATGTTCTCCAATTTTAACCCACGATTTTATCGGCATGTTCCAAAATTAATATTATAAATGCGAATCACAAGTTTGATACTTTTTAAAAAATTAAAGGGGAATACCTCTCGTCAACAAGTTTTACCTCTCTCAGATATGATTCGAACGAAAATAAAGTTTAAATATTTGTTTACAATCATGTAAGACAAAGATGTTGGCCCAGGGCGGTAATAACCCTAGATACGCGTCTGCTCCTTAG